ATCCACAGCGACCGAATGTCAGAGCCACTCCGGTGCGCCGCTCTCTAAGCGATGCTGACAGGGAGCCATTCTGATTCCCCCGCCGACAGAGCAAGGGTGAAGAACATTTACATGCAAAATAAATGGCCCGCTAACGGAGGACGGTGCCCCCCCACCCGCATGCGGGAGAATCAGGCTAGCAGACGAGCAAGGCCCCTCCCTACACCGCACCCTCGAAAGACTCATTCTACGCCAGTTAAGTTCCAGCTGTGTGAAAAACAACATGACTGCATGTATTAATCATCAGTTCACAACTGGCAGTCTGTCTGTCCCACATGCCACGTAACAGACACCATGTGAATCAGCCGCTTAAGCCATGCAGCTCGACGCATGACCATGTAAACAAGCCTTTGGGGCGCATTTCTCAAATAAATGATGATTTGTCTGCTCAGGGTCTCCCGCACCACATCTGCATCGTTTGACATTGTTATTTTTCATCCCGCGTCGGTTATTTTCAACCAAACATCCACTTTATTAAACCAGGTTGTGGTGTGAAAAGTGTCACGTTTCCACCCGCACGGTAATCTCAGCCCCCAGCCGTTCTTTTAACGAGATCCCAATAAATTTGCTCTTTTGTTTTTTCTCCGTTTCCCAGCGACGGTAGAATGTGGCCCTCGGTAGTCGTTGGTTTTGCTTTGCACGGGTTCAAATCCTCACCCAGGAACAGTGAGCATCACCTCCAGAAAACTTTGACACCATTACACCTCCCCCCCCCCACCTGCCTGCCCTTTGACCTCTGACCTCTGACCGGCTCGAATGTCCCGTCGATGCTCCTCCTGGGAGAGCGTCTCCTCCATGCTGACATACAGATATATGCCTTTACAGCCAGATCCCTGGGGGCTCCTCCAGTGACCTTGCCATCCCTATAGAGAGCCTCCCATCCCTCCTTCCTGTCCTCCCAGTTCACGCACCCCTAGCGGCCCTCGTTTTTTTCCATGCCAGATTCCGGCTCCCAGCGTCTCCCTCACGCATGGCCACCCCCGCCGCGGTCACGGAATGCAGCGAGTCCTTTTAATCGCCCCGGAGTTTAAAGCGAGCGCGACGTAAACGAGCCCGAGCGCAGACACAGTGACCAATCCCTTATTGCTGATGGGAGGACTGGCGGGAAATAGAGTGATGGAGAGAACGGTGATGGACGAGGTGGCCATGATGGTGCCGTTAAACAGGCCCCCAGCCCCGTGTGGGAATTCTCCACAATACCCCCGCCCCTCCAGAAAGCCAGTGACCTCAAGGCTACTGCTCTTCAATGGCCGCCTAGAGATAGGTAACACAAGACAACAGCGCCAGTTAGGTCAGGGGCTCCGGTCGCCGTGCCGACCGACAGGGCCGGCTCGGCTCCTCGCAGAGGGGCCCTCATTAGCCCCCCCGCTCGTTAACACACAGCGACGACGGCAGTCACCACGAGACGCCTCTCCGCTCTCCTCGGCTGCAATAAGCACCAGCTCTCGCC